CGGGCCGGGTCGTCCCCAACCTCACACCCCGAGGGACCTACCCTAATATGAATGTGTGTAACGGATTTTCAATCTCGGTCGTCCTTCGTGCGTCCTTCGTCCTCCGTGAGCGAAATGTGTATTGAATAATGAATGAGGGGTCCTAATTACAACCCTTTCCTGCCGAGGGCGCGCCGAGGGCTCCAACGCCCCCGCAGCACCGCGCAGCACACTGTAGACTGAGAGTCGTTTTCGTCGCTCTGTCTCTCTCGCACCTGTACGGGACGCCCCATGAGTGCGAGAGAGGCAGAGCGACGACTCTCGAAATCAGTCCGCTGTATCCGGCGGTTCCGGCCACTTCCGATCCGAGTCTCCGTCAAACAGACCTCCCATCGCGGAGGCGAAGATGCTGAGACAACCACGCGGTCGCCAACTTGACGCCCAAAAACTGGCATAAATTTACGTAATGTCTTTGTGCGGCTGGCCGCAAAAAGGAGTCTAGTGCGCGGAAGCTGCGCAAAGTCGTATACAGACTGGACCACGCGGACCCGTTCCGAAAGTCGCGTAGAGACATCACAAATGTTTTTTAAATGCCACCGAATTGGCCTTGCGTCGGCATGCCCACGGCATGCCCGCAGGAATGCGTTTGTTCCGACAGTGTAGACGGACGGGCACGGGACGGACAGGCGTTTCCGGAGGGCGGTGCGGGTCTGGATGGCCGGCCGGCAAGCCCAGCAAGCCTCTCGGCCGCGGTACCGCGGTGTACAAAGGTCCAGCACCGCATTACGGTGTAGGAGTACGGACCACAGTGGCCAGAAGACCGGCGCCGGCGGCCAAAGCTCTAGACGCTCTTGACGGCGGCCTCCAGGGCGTCCCTGCCGGCCGTCACACAGTGGGCCAGAAGACCGGTGCAGGCGGCCAAAACTCTAGACGCGTTTTGAGCTCCAGAGTCGCTGAACAGGACTCGAACCGAACGTGCGACCCCACCCATGGATTCCTCGTTCGGAGAGCAATCCGTTGGCGGGGTCGAACGATCGGTTCGAGTCCCATTTAGCGACTCTGGAGCTCTGGAGCACAAAACGCGTCCGGGATGTTGACCGCCTCCGTCGGTCTTCTGGCCCACTGTCGGGAGGCGTCTTTCTAGAGATGAGATTCCACCCCTTCTTCAGCCAAACCCTACTTACCCTGCGAGACCTTTCCCAGCCTCCGCCTCATCCGCTTCCGCCGGGGCGAGGCGCGCCGAGGCAAGGCTGGGGCTGCTGGCGCGTCGCGTTTGTCACACCCTCGCCGCGGCCACCCCGCAATCAGACCCACCTCCACCTCCACCGCGCCACGCTGTCGCTGTGCACGCCGCCAACCCCCACAGCGACTTTTGGCCTGGTTCTCGCCTTTCGATGTTGGTACCCCTTCCGCCACCCTCTAGAGCCCCGCGCCTCCCCTCCTCGCGGCTGTTGGCCGACCGCGGGGCCCCACCACACTACAAGCACCCGTCCCCGGGCCGCCCGGCCGCCTCAGCCCGTTTCCGGTCACTCTGGGCCGCCTGAGAGTCGTTTACGTCGCTCTGTCTCTCTCGCACCCTCGCGGGACGTCCCATGAGTGCGAGAGAGACAGAGCGACGACCAGGACCCTGGAGGCTGCCGGCTCCGGGCGGTGCCTGTCACTCACTTCCGAGAGGCTGGGGCGTGGAGGGCCTGGAAGCCTGGAAACGACTTCCGAAATAACCGCCGGACCACTGGCGGACCGCTGGCGGCGGCCGTCCCAGCACACGGCGCGCTGCATTCAGGGGATATTGATGTGATCGAGATGAATCAGATTCGTATGCAAATGGCGCCACAACAAGATGCAAAAGCTTTAGCGAATCCCCTGCGGCGGGGAGGGGGGGGGCTCAGGGTCGGGTTTTCACAATACATATTCAAGGGGTCGGCCGAAACCGTGGATGACACGACCCCCGCGAGTGTCTCTGTCCCGCTCCGAATTGTGTCACAACACCGGCTGGCCTTTTGCCTGCGAGCTCGCGGGGGACGCGGACCCACAGGACCCGTAGGAACCGCTGCGCTGCCGAGGTGCTCCGGAAGTGCTCCGGAAGTATCCTAATGGGGCCCTCTTCTTGAATGGACCGACGGGCCGTCCCGGACCCGAGGAGCTGGGAGCGGCGCGACGGGCGCGACGCACAGTGGGCCAGAAGACCAGTGGAGGCGGCCAAAACTGTAGCCGCGTTTTGGGCTGCAGAGTCGCTAAATAGGACTCGAACCGAACGTGTGACCCCACCAATGGATTCCTCGTTCGGAGAGCAATCCATTGGTGGGGTCACACGTTCGGTTCGAGTCCTGTTTAGCGACTCTGGAGCTCAAAACGCGTTTAGGACTTTTGCTGCCTCCACCGGTCTTCTGGTCCACCGTAGGGTTTGTTGTTTGTCGCTCCGCAGCCTCACTTTTGCGCGCGCGTACGTCGGCGACGTCCGCCGCGGCTCCCCGGCCCCATGGGGCCCCCGAGGCACGTCTGGCGACACGAGACAGTTATGTCATCAGTGCTGCCTGACCAGTCCAGTTCCCCGTCGTGGCCAAGCATGTCTTGCCGGAGCTAAAAATACACGCGGCTGCATACGCTTGGCACGCCCCGCGCCCCGCCCCACCCCGGTCTTTCCAGAGTAATGAGTGATTGGCGGAGTGGCCGGCCCCGGTGTGTTTGTGCGTGTGTGTGTGTGTGCGTGTGGGGGGGGGGTTGAAAAGGGAGGGGGATAGTGTGTTTGTGTGTGTGCTGGAGGTGAATTCGGGGCGCGGCTTGCGACGCCCCGCGAAAGCCCGGCTCACTCCTTGCTGTACTTTTGGACGCCACCGGGACGCAAAGCACAACAACAGGTCCAGTGCCAGCGGACGCGCGAAGCCAGCTCCTCCGTGGCGCGGCATCGCGTCTTGCGATCGGCTCCTTTCGCAGTGGAGTGGCTGATGACCTGGGCTTTTGCCGCGGGCTTGCAGTGCTTACAGTGCAGCGCGCACGAGGCCCGTGCAGCAGCCAGGCATGTTCGAGACTTGGAGACCTACGTTCGCGGTTCTGTTCTGGTCGGTTCAGCGACCGCTGCGCCGCGCCATGCCCAGGCCATGCCCAGGCCATGCCCAGGCCATGCCGGTCCTCGTTCCCGTCGTCCCTGCCAGTGCCGTGGCTGTCGTGGCTGCACTACCGCGGCACTCCGCGGACTGGCCGGCTTGGCTACTACGACTCCCGCCTGTTCCATTCATTCCAGCGGCCGCTTGGCCGGTTCATTCATTCCCCGCTCATTCATACTCCGGCCGGACTGGCTGGCCTCGCTGGCCCGGCCATGGCCCGGCCCTACACCGTAACTCGCTCTTATTTTCTTCTTCCTTCTCTCTCGTGGACGCGTCGCGTCGCGTCGCCGCTGCCCGTTTTTACGCGCTGGCGGACGCGAATTTTCAGGTGCGGTCATTCCCTAGCCGCCCTGCCCCGGCGCAACAACAACAACACGGCTCGCCCGCTTGTCTTGTCCGACTGGAGTCCAGTCGCTGGCCGGCCAGGCCGCGGCCAGGGCAGCAGACTGATTCCGAGAGTCGTTTTCGTCGCTCTGTCCCTCTCGCACTCATGGGGCGCCCCGTGTGGGTGCGAGAGAGACAGAGCAAACTCGGAATCAGTCTACAGGGCAGGGCCGCAGGGCCAGGCTGGGCAGTGGCGTCGCATTCCTGCCGGCGTCAGCCTCACTTCCGGTCCGTCTTCCTCTTCCCGAGGAGGAGGCTGCGCCGCCGCGCCGCCGCGCCGAAGGCAATGGCAGGCCGGCGCGGCGGTTCCGAGACGCCGTTCCATCGCTCTGTCTCTGTCGCACTCGCGGGCCGCTGCGTGGCGCTGCGAGAGAGACGGCGCCACCAAATAGTGCTTCGGAACCGCTGGGCAGCCCGGCGCCGGGACGGCCGGGACGGGGAGCGCGGCAGCGCCATGGCACGCCGAGGCACGCCGTGGCAGCGCGGCCCAGACCGAATCAACGACCGGAGGCGCGGCCGGGCCGCCGGGCCACGGCGCGGGGGAGGGGCGGGGAGGGGCGCGGTTCCTTCCAGGTTCCAGCCAGGTTCCTTGTTCCTTCCGGAGGCGCCAGCACCGCGCCAGCACGCCAGCCAATGCAGCCGACCCCCGGACGGCCGTCTCCGGCGACGTCTGGCCCAGGCGGGGCGGGGCGGGGCCGCAGGGCCGGACAATCGTCCGCAGAGTAAATACAAACACGCTGCCGTTTTAAAAGCTGCAATAACCGAGGCGACCGAGGGCACGGAGCAGAAAGCCTGCCAGGGCGGGGCGTGGCGCAGCGGCGCAGCCTGGCGGGACTGGGTGGCGACGCCCGCTTCCGGGCGACTGGGAGTGCCTGGAGCGGCCTGGAGCCGGAGCGGCCTGGAGCCGGAGCGGCCTGGAGCCGGAGCGGCCTGGAGCCGGAGCGGCCTGGAGCCGGAGCGGCCTGGAGCTGGAGCGGCCTGGAGCCGGAGCGGCCTGGACTGGAGCTGGAGTGACCTGGAGCTCCGTTGGGGCTGGGCTGGGGCAGTTTGCAGGCTGGATCTAAGTCCAGTGTCAGGTGCTTTGAAACAAATAACTCGGTCGGGACTTTCGTTAGTGACGACACCGCCGCTGTACTCCATGCGGCTGAGACTGGCCGACCAACGCGGAGTATCTCCGGTGTCACTTGTTGAGGCGTTTGACATCGATTTGAGGAGTAGTTTCTGACGTAGGGTCCCAAGTCGAGGGAGTGCCCCAACAGCCCAAGCGAAAGCTGTGCTAAGGGCGGCGTTGTTGTGGCGTGGTGGTTAGCGACGGCGTGCAGCCCGGCGGTGGCCAGCCTGCTTTGCGCTGCTGCCCGTTGGGTGGCCTACCTCGTCTGTGGCCGCGGAGCGCCGGACTGGGAGGCAACCCAACGCACGCGCACTGGAGATACCCCCTGCCGCCGGGGAACGACGAGCGAAGAGCGGCTGTGAGCTGCCGAAGTTTCACGGCGTGTTCTTGATGTAAATCCGAATGTGATGCTCTGCTTTCAGGTGATCGACCTGGATCCGTTTTGGGTGCCGTCCACGGAGGAAGAGTACCTGCACTTCGGGGAGAAGGCGGACTCGGGCAACCGAGCCCGTCAGTACATGGACACCGTCCGAAGGAGGAAGGGGCTGTCGGTCACCACCAAGATTGTGGAACACGCAGAGAAGCAGCGAACTTTGTCCAAGAACAAGTAGCCTACGAGGTGAATGTTGTGAAAATAATCAACTGTACTTGCCAAACAAAAACAAGTGGTACGTGGTATTTATTTTTTGAATAAAAACAGCTTGAAATATTGTTTTGATGTTACAATTTTTAGCTTTATTTAAAATATCTCTTCTTGCTGAATATCCAGTCGTAATCTGCACTCCTTCTCCAGAGCACTACCAAGATTAGCTTCTGCATATTGTGCAATTGGCCGTACTCTGTCCATGATCATTCGTGCATGCCGTTTGTTTGCCGGCACAATCCTCACTTCAACAGCACATGAATCTAGTTAAACAGAGACATGAGTGAAACAGGATTTAAATGACCACAAATTTGTTTAACAGATAAAATGGCATAAGGAACTAAATCTCACCTTCGTAGTCCTCAAAATAACTTAATTTAAATTGAAGTTTGTAGGGCACTTCATCAGGCAAATAATCTAGACATGCTGCTTTCACAAAGTCCACAGCTAATCTATGTTGATTGCGTAGTTTCTTATCAGTAAATAACCACTCGCCTGGCTGAGCTTCATGGAGAAGATACTCCTAAGGCACAAAAAATAACCATTTGCAGCATTCCATAAAAAAATAGAAACTTGATGATGATACATGGGTCTAGCCCAGTGAATACCTTTACGTCTCCAACTCCATTCCCTTCCAGAGCTGACACCATAAAAACTTCACAAAAATGAGGCCAGGAAGAAAGATTTACTGATAGAGCTGCAACCTGTTGCTCAGTCAAATTTGCCTTTGCTGGTATAGGAGATTTTGGAGATTTTGTCAAACTTCGTACCAGACCTAGAAGGGAACCTTTTCTCTTGATAGCATCAACCTAATAATTAAAATGTTTCATTAGAACTGGTTAGTATGTCACAAATCAAAAATAAAAAATATTCTTAAGAAAAATTATTAATGCCCACACCTTGTTCAATAATAGAAAAGTTTTCTTTCTTTGATATAAAAGAAGGTGACGGATGACAGAAGGATCCAGCATATCTGATTTATATCCCGATACGTCGTGAAGAACTCCAAGAACATCAGCTTCCTGGATAGCTCCCTCAGCACTTCTCAAAAATTCAGACTCAAACTTCAGCCTGAATTGGATATAATACAGAACAGTTAATAATAAATAAATCCTTTACATAGACTTGCTTTTAAGATTGAGTTGTCATACTTCTTCACTTCATCAGGAGATACTAGTCCAGGCGTATCAAAAAATACGATTTGAGTGTCTTCAACATTGGTGAAGGCTTTGACTTTTGCCCTTGTAGTATGCGTTTTCATAGACACAGGACTAACCTGGAAATACACAACAAAGAAATCCCTTGTATGACGGATATGAAGGCAGCGCTTTTGCAGATGTAACAAAATGTTGTTGTCGTAGCATGTAAACTTACAGTTCGGCCGACTATTTGATTGATCAGGGTACTTTTACCAGCATTTGGACGTCCAATCAGAGCCACTTTAATAACTTTGGTTGGATTCTGAGAAGTCTTGGTTTGAATTTCATCTTGAATGTTATTAAGATTTTGAGCCAAGGTCCTCAAGCTCAATTGTAATGTTTGACATGAACCCAAGCGCAAACTAAACTTAGACTGAGTCAAAACTGATTGGCACAACACCCACATTGTTTACTAATGTTGCAGACGTCCTAACCTCAAAACTCTCAAGAAATCAATCCCGATACGAGGATAAATACAAATTGACTGATAATATATCGAGTTGGACTAATAAGAATAAGGGTTTAAGTCATTTTAAGTATCTACGTTATACTGACACGTTCAGGTTATCAGTGAAATCACAATAAAATAGACAACCGCCAGACACCTTTGCGTTCGAAATCGCAACGGGACGGTAGCGGAAGTAGGTCGAGTCAACGAGGCGGGAGCGGGAGATTTGAATTTCTGGGGGAACTGTGAACTGTGTCGTGAACGATGGGTTGCCTACCTGTGTGGCACATGCTCCAAGCATTCAAGATTTTCGTCCGTAAAAGGCTCTTGAGGGCCGAAATGGCCCTCGAAATAGTGTCAGGAGTCTTGAGGGAGTACTCCAGCACAACATACTCAAATTTGGACCACTTTAAATTTTTGTCCCAAAACGTGAAAAAACCATGATGTATAGCCTTAACATTTTTTCGACGAAAATGGTCGACCACCTCCGATTTGCCTGCAATTCATATGGTACGTTGCTATGGGTCTAAGAAACAGATACCCGGTGCCCAATGGTCTTTGACGAATTCTGTTTGGCGTGAAAATGACTTTTTCCGGGATGCATGTAGAGTGGAAAAAGCTGTGGGCGGTGGGTTGCCTACCTACGCGGCGCATGTTCAAAGCAGTCCAGTTTTTCGCCGGAAAAAGACCGTTGCGGACCGACATGGCCTTTGAAATAGAGTCAGGAGTCTCGCGGGAGTGCTCCAGCACAACATAGTCGAATTTGGGCCATTTTAAATTTTTGTCCCAAAACGTGAAAAAACCATGATGTATAATAGCCTTAACATTTTTTTGACGAAAATGGTCGACCACCTCCGATTTGCCTGAAATTCATATGGTACGTTGCTATGGGTCTAAGAAACAGATACCCGGTGCCCAATGGTCTTTGACGAATTCTGTTTGGCGTGAAAATGACTTTTTCCGGGATGCTTGTAGAGTGGAAGAAGCTGTGGGCGGTGGGTTGCCTACCTACGCGGCGCATGTTCAAAGCAGTCCAGTTTTTCGCCGGAAAAAGACCGTTGCGGACCAACATGGCCTTTGAAATAGAGTCAGGAGTCTCGCGGGAGTGCTCCAGCACAACATACAGTCTTCATCGGCAAAGAGTCGACCGGCAAAGAGTCGACTTCATGTGACGGTCCCCGCTTACGCGGCGGGGGCGAGCTCGAGCCACAATAGTTTTATGGCCCTCCCGAGCTCGGAGCACTACCGGAGCTTTTGTCTACCACCATGTGCTGTTTGGTTTTCGTGTCGGCAAAGAGTCGAAATCCGGTCCCGACCCGTCGACTCTTTGCCGATGAAGACTGTAGTCCCAAAACGTGAAAAAAACAAAACATGATGTGTATAGCCTTGCGAAAAAAATCGACCATCTCAGATTTGTCTGCTATTCATGTAGAACTTTGCTCTCCAATTTGGGTCATTTAAAATTTAGCCAGCATTCTCTGCAAATGAACTTGACTAGCTAGTATTTATCTCTGGTCAAGGCCAACTCAATGAGCTTCTAGCAAATTTTCATAATATATATATTTATATATTCATCAATATATTATTAACACATAATAAGTTCATACACATGTTTGTAATTATGTACAGTTACGACATTTACAGTAATATTTCCTGAAGTTCATGCGTGCACTCTTTCACACAGATAAACAGTTTTAAAACTCTATGTAAAAGCTAGATTTTTAAATGCATGGAACGGTACACAGGGGCATAGCAACTATAAAAATGGAACACAACCCTCCAAATCAAGAAGGATCTAATAATTATCTTTCCTTAAAATAACAGAACATGCCATGGACAATCCGAGAGGCTAATCTAATTCTTTTAGATTAGGATTCACTCACATCAATTGTTCTAGCTAGAAATGGGTAACATTATACTTTAGACGGGATTTTATAAAGACAATCACAGTGATTTCGCAACAAACATATTAGACTATGTACCTTACATGCAGGGATCACAAAAGTATTATTGTTAACAACTGAAAAACACAAATGTCAGATTGAGAGATATTCTTTTAAAATCCTACTAACTACAATGAATGATCTGGAGGGATAGATAGAGATCTGCCACACTTATTAATAATGACTACAAGGGAATATAGAAGGATGAGGGTAGAATGAAATCAGGCAAAGTTTAGTCATAAGGAAGAAAGAAACCAAAAGGCACAACACTTACACCAAACCAGATAAGCCTGTCAGTGCCCTTTTGGGCAGGGATCCACAGTAGATTATAGAAAGAAAATACAGCAGAAGGTAAATATTTTGTCCTAGGCAAATAAAACGATTGTCATGAATACTGAGTTGTTTTAAATGAGGGGCAAATTTTACCAAATGTACTGAATGTAAGAAAAACAAAATAAAAATAAAAAAATAAAAAATAAAAATTAAGAGAGAGGAAAAGAATGGAGGCAGTAATTTACATACTACATTCGCATGCTGATTTCAGTCCCATTCCATCATAATTATATTTAGATAGTCAATGACTTTAACATGAGAATAAAAAAATCTCAGACTGTTAAAATAATCACAACTCAATTTGAAAGGCAAAATAAAGTTAGAGGCTGGGTCCTGCTGAGCCTACAAATGTCAGAGAAACATGAGAACACTTAGTTTATGTCTCCAAGTTCCTAAAAGTTAAGAGAACATAACCATTTATTATAGCTACCAGCTATCATCTCACAAAAATACAAAAGAAAAGGGTTAATTTTGCCTCATACTGCTCTATGACAAGAGCACTACATCTAATATGGAAATGTCCTTTAGAGCTTCTATGAACACCTCTTCAACTTTAAAGAAAACTAATGTCATCTTTTACTGTACACGAACTAACAGCAACTTGCTTAAACAAGAGTATACTTTTCCAAAGGGAAATGTGGCACAAATCAATCTTACCATAACAACAGCAGGATCTCTGCTATGAAAAACGCATTCAAGTACTGTGGGGGAAAAGGAGGGGGCGGGGAGGAAGGGGGAAGGAATGGGGGCAGACTCATATAGGAAAAAATAAAAATAGCCAGAGTAACAAAACCTTATTGCTCAATTTCTGAGTCATGAAGCTCATTAGGAAAACAGGAGAAGAGGAGCAGAAGGACCGACACATGCCTTGTTGAGCAACTAACACGGCTCAATACGAAAACCCTTCTCCATTCTATCACATACTTCTTCCCATCCTCTGACGATTTGCAAGAAACTCAACAACACCAATGCAAAAATATCCATTCATTCGTAAGGATTATATCTAAACAAACATCAATAAGACAAAAAGTTGGGCAGGAGCAACATAACACATTTTCATACAACCAATATATAACAGCAATAAACTTAGCTGAAGGATAAAAAAAAATTATTGTTACAATTTTCTATAACACATAAACTATATATCAATAAGCGTAATAGCTCACCACACCCACAACACCTTACATTATATAATGACAGTAGTTTCAAGTTCACCTCCATATTTAAAGTCAGTGGTGAAACAAAATATAAATTTCATGGCCCTGAACAGCAGCTATTGAACAACTTTTTTGCTTGTGGCTTATGTTTCACCAAATTACATAGTAAAAACAACTCTTAATTTAATAGAATTTCCTACAGAGAAAATTCAAATCAGCCATTGCACATTCAAAGCAATTTCATGATCACAAGGCTGACCATTGATCATGGATCTCAAAGAAGCAAAGCACAGAAAAAGTAGCGACAGTAGAAAAATACTCTTAGCAGGCATAAAAATTAGTTAATAACCTTTTTTAATTAAAGTTAATTAATGCTAGTAGTGATACTGGAGCCACCATGAAGAAGAGCCAATGACTGAAATATGAGTTTAAATGTTTCCATTTTGATTCATTTTTTAGACCTGAACATTTCAAAGTCATGAAAACCTGGTTAAACGTGCACATTTCTTCATGAAAAGCTTTGGTTAAGGCCAATGAATGATTGGTCTGAATGTAACACCTCCCTTATTGGTGGATTAAAATTACAAATTACTTAAACACACAAGTATACATCTCACACGATTTCACACCAAAGAGCACAAAGGACAGTTCTGCTTGTAAAAAGCATAAAATGTCTGATGAGGGGCTACTGATCTGGGCTGGAAATTGAATGTTATTTTGAAGTCTTCTTAGACAACTAACCAGTATTAAAACAAACACATTTATAATAAAAATAACAGACACACAAAATCATCATTCACTCAAGGCACACTCTAAAAGAAGAAGTATTGTAACACATTCATCCCTTGGGCGGAATAATTAAAAGAGAATGAAGACAATTTGGTTTTGATGTCTACAAATGAACCCTGTCTAAGATTCAATCAAAATAAAATGGTAACAATTTGATGTTGTTCTATTAAGAAGACATAAGTTCTTCAATTTTCAACAATCAACAAAAATAAACTTTTATACTGTATACTACAGAGAATCAACAGCAACAAAACACCAAGGTGCAAAAGAATCAAGAATACTCTGATGTAACTTCCTCACTGAACTTAAAGCTGCGGTAGGTGTTCAGATAAAGTCTTAGGTTAAAAAAGAAAAATGAAACTAATGACAGCAATGACATACACAGCCTTTTCATTTTGAAAGTAACAAATACCACACAATAATGCAAGTATTTATGCAATTTAACTTTTAAAAGAATTATTATCACCAGTATGCTTGTACTATTACTGGAAATGCTGCAGTCTCAGACAACATTGGGATATATGGTGGCAAAGCAAAGGAATTTGTCTAAATCTCCATTACTGTACAAGGATTTACACAATGCAGTTAAACAGTTCCGTCAATTGAGAAAGGAATATCTTAAACTTGTAACACAGAATATATTGAATAAATTTATCTCTAAGGTCTTACTTTCTAACATGATATGTGTAGAGGAGCATGGGAGCAGCTTGAGTAGAAACAACATTTCTTTCCAGAATGAGTCAATCACAACTATGTCCCGAACCATGAGAAATTCGATGGCAAAATAGACAATCTAAGACATCTACAGCCAAATACTGCTACTTTTCAGGAGATGCAAATTTACAAGAAGACAAAAAAGAACAAAAAAAAAAAAAACAAGAATTGACAGCACTGTAATAATTACACACATATATTGTTTGTTCTTTTCAGGGGTAGGGAAAAATTAGATCCCACAGAGAGAAAATAAAGAGCCACTTCAAACCTCAAACAAATGCATCTATGACTAATGAAGCCAAAGCAAATCTGAGAGCATTAATTCAGCCTCATGATAGAATAGTTAATGTGCGTGCCAATGGCAGTACATGTTTTGCACAAACATTTCCTGTGTTACTCTTTCTTATTTTTCAGGTTTCCTTGACAAACACAGTAAAACTGGAAAGGCAGCAACATTTTTAAAATGTAATCATCTGGTTTATAGCACACAGTAATTGATTACTTTCACATCAAGAAAAACAAAAGACCTGAACCACTGAGCCTACAAGTTTCCTAAAAAATACAACATATGATTCTCCAAAGCAGATATTACTGTAATTTAGTTGAATAACATACAACATCTATGAAAACAAAATCTGTGCCAGGGACTACAAAGAGGTTCACCCAGACGCAATCTTGAATAAGAGAAATACTGTGCTTTACACCGCTGCACCATCTTCCATCCTTGTTTAGCTCCAACTCAACTATATCTTCCCTTCCAACACACAAATTCTAGAGAGTTTTGAACTGCTTGGGGTTGGAAAGTCTACTTAGGTGATGGCAAATTGTCTTCTCCAGATGTTGTGGAGTCCTTGGAGCTAAAAAAGCAGGAGCAGCGAGACATACTTCGTCACAGTTTCTCAGACACTCCAGCGCTTGCAGGGGGTGTCTGTGGAGGAATGCTAGATGGTGCAACGCCTGTTGCTGAGTGTGGTGCTGAACTGCCTCGAATGCCTCGACTTGGAACTCCACTTAAGTCCTGGCTGTGGCCCATAACTGGGAAGGATTTTGTTCGCTTAGCTGCATTCCTGCAAAAATACCAATCTTTATTAGCACAACATGCTTTTCTTCATATAAACCAGGGTCCTGGCATGCATGAGTAACAATTAGATGATGGTAAAGTACCTTAAGGTCAAATAGTTCAATAATAGCAAAAATTCAATTTTTTTTCAAGATCATGAAAGCATTAATCTCATTCCCAGACCCCATTTTCTTTCCTGATGAACAGAAATAGTCTAACATTGACAAAAGCTTGCAAATTAGGTATGTGCGCGAACAATTTTGACATTATTTTTGCAGGTGTATTAGAGATTGCTTCCTGAAGCAACAACATGCTCTCATACCCATCCCCAAAGACAAGCATTGTGCTTGAAGAAACAGCATACAATGCAGCGAGCAAAGCAATAAGAACATTTTGTTGTTCCAAATGGTTGTCAGTGCTTTCTTTTGAATGGAGTAGCTAATTTTAACATTTATGATCAGTTATTGCCATTTTTAATAGTAATTTGTTAGAAGTTTTATAAAACAGAGTTGGTAGCTTTGATGATATTCATCCTCTAAAACAAGTCAGAACAGGCCAGAATCTACACACCACCGTACTAAAGCCTATGCACTGATCACCTTCACCTGAAAGAAAGGAATGCCTGGACCTAAATCTACAGCAATCTCTGGCAACCCCGACAACCACAAAGAACACTCAATACATATCATCTCCTAACTTAATACCAAAGACTGGGAAATGGAATATACTAACACTACACGTCTAGTTTGGAAGAATTCCTTTGTAAACTTGTGAAAAACACATGAAAAAGGTGCTGGAGAAAACTAAGCAGTGAGGTGCAAAATATTCCATGAAGATAATCATGCATCACAAACAGGGAATTCCTAATTAAAGTTATGTTCTGTTTCTAAATAATGTTAAAGGAAGGTCCTGCTATTTTAATTTTTTAAATATCATTTTGACCACATAGCTGAGCAAACATCACTCTCTAGTACTAATGGTATTTGTTTCACTAAGTGAGGTAGCACTTCCACTCCTGAAATAGTATTTTTCACATTTTGGGAGCTGGTGCAGTAAATATAACTAAGGACAATGTGAAGAAAAACAATCACACAGGGACACACCGTGCAGCACACTGAAGAAGTTGTTAAAAAAAGGTGCAACCTCGACTGAGCATGTTGGACATTTACCTTCGAGCCTTGGTGTTATGATCAGAGGCAAGCACAGCTGTAAGACAGGTTTGCTGCCACACAGCATGACATGCAGGAAAAGACAACCCTATGGTTGAGGCCTGTATACCACAGAGAGCAGGGACAACCCCGTTACATTTCAATGCACCATCTGACGCAATGTGGTTTTATAGGAAGTCTGAAAAGTGGCTAGTTAAGACCTTGAAGGTAACAGTTCAAAAGACTGTTGCAAATATTGAGATTGAATCACTTATTAGACTTATCATTTGCTGAATACCACAGGAAAAAAATGGTGAATGCAGTTATAAAGGAATGACATTCCCATCCTGTTCTAATTCACTTATCTTTAATGACAGTTTTACTGTAATGTGGAATGCTTACAACAAACCCATGCAACTAATATATGCTTTAATCTGAACAATATTCCTTTCAATGAACTTCAAAAGTTAAAAATTTATATCAAAGTTACAAAAATGTTTGTGAGTGTTGCTTAATAAAAATGAGGCATTGTGCAAGACATGTTTGAAAGCTATAAAATATTTTTTCTATGTTGTCGCCATGTAAGCACTAGAGGTACAGTATCACAATGAAGCAATCATGCACTTCTTAAACATTAAGTTTTAAATGAAATATGTAATTACCCATTATAAAGAAAAAATTTTGCTATGACCCAAAGTTGCCTCTTGCTCTTATACATGGCTTATGTAAACTTTCCTCTTAATGTATAAATTGCTCCTACCAGGGGAACTCCCCACTGTGTCTTTGCTGCAAAAGAAAATGTTCATCAAGGAATGTCACCTTGTTTTATAACTCCAAACACAGACGAAAACTGACTGGACTCCAATAAAACAATGGGGCCCAAGAGGATTGATAGCCACTATATTTCTAGAGATCCATGCACTGGGCAGAGGAATGCACACATATATGGATTAGTCCTAGCATTGGATCCAAATAACAGTACTGTTATTGCATAGCTGTCTTCTAACACTTCCATTAGGTGGAATTATATCACTCTCAAAACAGATCGTTGGTTAGAAGTTAACAAGAAGAGGTGTGGTTGTGCAGATTACTGGTATATTTATGTAGTTAATTAATTATTTGATACATGGTTCACAGACATGCACAAATGTTCAGAATGGCCTGCACATGCCACAAAAAGAAGCAATCCTGAACAAACAAACAATTAGACCAAGCCCTCTTGACTAACATGAGACCTGAAAGAACTCCAAGAGAATTTCTGCAGATTCTGTCAATGCGAGTAGTTCATTGACAAAAGAGAGGACTGTAATTGCTGTGAGAACCGAGAACTTACCTCCTCCTTCTCAGGGAAACGTTGTGTCCAGGCAATCCAAAATAGCCTCTTGGAATAACCATGCGAGCGTTGCCCTGTGCAGGACGAGAGCCTCCAGGAGCGACAAGTTGGGCAAGATGGGCAGCATATCCCTCGGATAATATAGTAGCTTGTGACTGGTGCTTTTTCGACACTTTTCCAATAATATAAATCTGCCTTGGAATAGGATCCAGCGATCTGTACACTGCAATGTCCTTACTACTTCCATAAGCAGAGTGAATTAGTACATCATGAGCCTGGAAACACAAATAGAAGTGGCATGATCAGCTGCGTAAAAAAATTAAAAAATAATTTCATTTAGACAGGAAGTCCATTTAATACCTCTTGCAGCGCTTGCAGGTACGTTGTTTTGTGTCGAAGAGGATCAGTGGATAAGCCGTCAGCAAAGGACACCAATCCGTGAGGGAAATTGTGTTGGGACAGCCATGATACAACCTTCTGTTGTTGCATATCTGGCCTCCCAGTAACATATATGATCAAATAGCCCAGCTCTTGCCAGTGCCTGTTGTCAAATACACATGTGATGAGTGAGAACAGTGGTCAAGCTTTTCACTTTAAGTCGAATAAATTTTTAATTACCCACCTGACAACATCAACAGCTCCAGCTCGCACTTTCGGATCTCTCCCTGTTACTGACATACTGGCAGTGAATGAACCATCAATACTGAAAACAATGCATTCAGTCTTGGGTGGAACAACTGCCATGTAGAAGTCTGCTGATGTGTGATCTCCTCTGCAAATAATAATTATTGTAACATTCATTTTGAAATTTTTTACGATAAATATTAAATAAATTACTTATGAAACAACCAACCTTACAACCATTTTGATTGGGTATATACCATACCCCAAAGACTTGTCACTAGGAATAGTATATGATACCCTACCATTTTTATCAGTAACTTCAGTTGATAATAACTGCCACTCTCCAGCAGGGGCATCTTTCATAATATGAATGTCTATTTTTTCTCCTAAAAAAAGAAGAGATTGTACAATATGATTTTAGAAACAGGCGAAATTATAATACACATCATTTAGCTACGGAGAAAAAGAAAGAAATACTTGCCATGTAAAGTTATCATGTCAAGAGGTCCATACATAAAGCGGGCCAATAGTACTTGAGGTTTTCCCTCTTTGACAATAACATCATTGGCACGATGATTTGGTGACACATTCTAGACACAAAGAAACAAAGTGGTGACACATCGGGCAGGAGGTTGAAGTTGCTATTATGGAATTCAGTGACAACAGGTGTTTCTAGGGGAAACATAAACAAAAACTGACCTTCAGCTTGACAGATGTCCTTTTCCTAATCCACTTTTCACGAGGTTGGTTTGGACTAAATGCCACAAGATCTTTATCATCGTGACCCAAAGCTTGAAGAAGTTCAAATCGTCCCAACTGTCAAAACATTAAGTCAATGAATAAACAAAAATACACAAAAGAAGTGAAATTAATTTTGTTAATTTATTATTTACCTGGCGCAAAATGAAAGCAATCACATCGGAAGACTCCCAATAACTTGCATGGAACAAGTGAGGAAGTGCATTTGTAGGGAAGTTGGATAGGCCATCAGGGCAGTACAAAGCATAGTCCAATCTTTTATTGCCCCACCATTTCTGGGTCACTGAAAGAAAAACAGATTGAAAAAGTGTAAATTTCAGTTAAATCTGCAAACAGGTCAGTTCCATAAGCATGTAGTGTACGATAAATGATTATTAGAGTAGAATTCAAGCATGTCACTCTCTGCAAGCTTGATGTTGCCATATGAAAGAGAAGAATTCAATTTGAATTCAATTTGTTTTGTACCACAATATATATAGTATTTTTTTAAAAGAGATTATTGATTATTTAATCAAACCGTAGGAAAGAGATGATAAACACACACAAAAACACCACAAACATATTTAGGAAGGAAGGAAGAAAATAGCAAGTTTATAAAAAGCAGGTCTACAAGGTGTGATACAAGAGACAAAAACTCACAGGCATTGATGGTGTGTAGGGGTAGAGAGTCTATGACACCAGAGACAGTGCTTTGGATGCTGATTTCAGACATACGTCGTAAGTGAGAGGCAGGAGTAGCAACACTGAGACCATCAGAGAAAATCTGCGGGTTTGCCTGGATGATTTCCACTTTATATGCCAGCGTGCAAGAAAGAAAGAAACAATTCATATACCTTGTTGATGTTTGTACCCTCGAGAGGAAAATATTTTATGTATCCCCAAGACTTAAGACCCAATACAATTTCTATTTTTTTAAAAATGAAAATGGAATGCACTGTTTGTGATTAAAGGTCTATAACACAGTCCCTTGTATCAGTTACTCTAGTCTCAAGTTGAATAAAGAACAAAACAAAAATTGACAGACAAGAGTTCAATCAGGCCAGCTAGAAGGAGATCAAGGCATAGGATCACAGATAGAAGATGAAAGCCAATAAAGTGACAATAACAATTCATCTAACACTATAGACTATGGTTAAAAATCACATTTGTTGTTGGAAATATGAACCCTAACATGCTTGTAAGTAGTTTTTCAAGGCTAGTTAGCATGAAATGAGGGAAGTCAGTTCATAGAGGCAAGGTGTTATTCAATCACATTGAAGCAGCTTCATTTTGCACTTACACAAATGGTAAGGCTGTCCATTTCCAAGGGGGTACTTCTGGTAGCGTGGAATGTTGATTGGTGGCAACATGGAAAAGCGTGCAGAAAGTAGAGGTTCAATTCGAGCCGCCACTGGGTCAGTCGGATGAAATAGATTGTAGACTTGTTGGCACCCAGGCCGATGAATTGGGGCTGAAAAAGTTTAGAAAAGTATTAGTAAAATCCATTAGAAGCAGAATTTTTTCTTTTCAAAACAAGTAGCAAAAAAGGTGCATACCATTTTTCTCATCTATTACAGATATTTTTCTGTAGGCTAAAACCAGAGCCAATGGACTTCCAAACATAAAAAGCTCACTCACTTCAAAATCGAGTTTCACTTGCTGAGAGTGATCACTGCAACAAACATAATAATGCTATCAGAACAAAGTGTGTCTATCACTTTCATTTCACAATGGGCAGAAGGTTTCACCTGGTGGAAGATGATCTTCGTCTATTACCACTGGGAGCACTGAGGAGTCGGCTGGCTGATAGATAAGTCTCATCTCCCACATCACAACGACCACGATCGTGATCATCTGTAAGACACAAAATACGGAACATAGAGCAATTTTTTAAAATGAAATTCTTAAATGCAGTTATTAAGAATATCATTTAGTTATTTCATTTACCTAGATCATTGTCTAAGTCATGTCTTCCAGAACGGCATAACGCATCATAAGCTAGTACTGAGCCCATGGAATCCCCTAAACACACCAATATTTTGAGTTCAGTGAATATTATGATCATGCTTTAAGGTTCCTGCAACTAACTCAAATATACAGAAATATAAACATACCAATAATGCAAATTTGTCCATTAAAGCCAAGACCTTCCTCTGACTTTAAAAATTCGTGGTAAACATTGTTGGCACTTGTCACAGCTCGGGAGACTGCATCCTGATATTCAGTTACATTGGCAGTGGCTAAAAGTGGTATTGAACCAATAGGAATGGAATCATGTGTGACTTGGGGAGCGTCCAAGCATGAGGGGGAAACATCAAAACTGTATGGGTTCAGACTGGAAAAAAACAATTCAAAACAAAATTAATAAGTAAATGAATGAAGTCAGACAATCTCTTTTCTCATCACCTCATACCTTGACAGTATTCCTAGCCCTTCGGTGCAAACAGATGGACAACTGACTAGTTTGATTGCTACATGTCCTACCATGGATGGGTAATGTTGTCGCATAACACATTCAAAAGACCCTCGGAATGTAGTTATGTCTGATTTTTTAGCAGAAAGTTCTGTATTGGCATCTATTGGAGTTGAAGGAAAAAGTCAGTGAAGGCAACAGAGTAGTACTACTAAACATTACAGAATGTTGAGATAATAATTAACGTACCCAGAACACTGCCCGCATGGAGAACAAGTAGGAGGACGGAAGTAGGGCAGGATGGCTGCTGGCCTGTCAATAAAGACATAGTTGGCGAGCCAGGGCAAGAAGATGCATCAACCTCGATACTGCTGCGGCCTGCATAGGGTAACATCCTTCCTCGGCCACCAGCTTTGGTACGCTCACTAACAACTCTTTGAAGGTATGTATGAGAAAATATGCTATCTGTTTCAGAATCGCAAAGAAAAATTTATGGTAGATTGAAAGAAAGGGCAGGATGAGTTTCAAACTGATTCAAAAATTAAGTTGACATTACCATTTTTATCCCTGGCGTTGCTGGTGTTTGGTCCTTCGATATTTTCCTCATTTAAAAGCTCCATAGAGCTCCATTTTGCCATAGCTTCCACTTCAGCATCTTCTGATATTGAATGTGATCCTGTAAAAAGCAAAATAAGATTAGTGGTGCATTATGCCTAATATCAGACACATTCCACATGTTAGTTTACAGCAGCAACAATAAAGTAACAAGGTCCAAGAAGGTGTTGAAAATAAAATAGGAGCAAAAAAATGAGGTCATAGCAAGGCAACTGATGTTCTAAATTTAAAACAAATACAAACTAAAAATGAAATAAACTACAGAAAACCACTAGTATGTATAAAATAATGATGGCTGTAGTTGTGGTGCTATATTGTAAAGTGAAGATGCATACAAAACATGATATGTGAACATCCCGTGCAAGTGTGTGAAAAGTTACAACAACATGGAGTGCATATTGTGCATGGGGTATGTTGATGTGCAAGTGGCTAAGTACTGCTGGTGGTCCTTTGTTTGGCCATGAGATACCTACCCTTTATTGCTGGGATTACAAACCGCACACCAACTGAGTATCAAGAAATTTCCAATGAAAAAAGATATTGTGTAAGAAAGCATGAAGTGAAAAACAAAAACGTTAGAGATTGATCAGAACTGGTATTATCATGTAAGTGAGAACATAACGTCTAGAGGGGGCTGTCTCGATGAGACAATGAGTGAATTATTAGCAACAGTAGCATTTTCTAAAATAAGTACCCATGCATGCATGATACAATCTACTGTATGTACCCTGAGAACATATAACTTTAAAATTTATCATGCAGGAAAATCTAGGTCACAAAATGATTAAAAATATCAATTTGTAACTTGTCCACAGAAAAATATATGCCTTGTTAGAGAAACAAGTGTAGAAATATTGAGTTCAATTTGTGAGTTACATCGGAAGAGACACTAAGATACAAGAAGCAAAAACAAGATTTCATAAAAACAGAACAATTGGCTCTTACCTTGACAATCAAAATATTCATCATCACTTTCAGAATCAGAATCACGAACTATACTCTTCATTCGCCAGGAGGCAGCAGAGGCAACATCTGTGCCAATCCACACCTTCCTTCTTGAGTCGTTGTCTTCTTGGCGAGGCCTAATACAAAACAGGAGCATTAAAGTAAAAATAAAAATAGGAAATCATTATGCATCTGACAGGCTTCTTACTTTGTAGGAGAGTCACTTTCATCAGAGCTGCAAGCACCAGTTTGAATGTCAGGAGGGCGCTCAGTTTTCTTCTTCACAGAAACTGGAGTCAAGATTTGGTCCTGGTCATTTTTCTCTATGCTTCCAAGTGTAGCTGCTAATGTCTTCTGAGCCGATGAAGAGGGTTCCTAACAAGATTGTTTTAAATTGGTTTAAAATGGACTTTATGTCCAGGAAAGAAATGAAAAGAAATAAATCTGAGGAACAAACCGAGGGTGTCGCTGCGCCGCTACTCTGAGGTCCACCAGAAGCGGCAGCTGCGAGATTTGTTTCTTGACTAGGGGAATCACTAAGTGCACCTTGACCATCTTGAGCCATTGTTTTCTTTAATAACTCCTGAGTTTCTTGCTCAATCCTCCGGATATCATCCATGGTCAATCCAACCCACTCATCCTGCCATACCCAGGCTTGAATGTGAGCTCTCAACATTGTTTTTCTTAAAGCTGTGGAATTTTTTTAAAAACATTGTTATTGGTTTTATTTCATATTTAATGAAGTCCATCAGGTGCCAGAAGAGGTAGTTTTAACTCACCAACATCATGAATAAACTTTTCTAGTTTAGTCTGCATACCCCAATAACGAAACTCAACTCGACACAGCTTGTAGGCACACATAAGGGCTTTGCCACTTGGAGTGGGCATCGTCTTGCTCTAAGGGTTTGCAACAATTTTGAATTAATTTAATTTTGATACAAAAATGATTTTTCTGGTGCTATATGTATCTTACCTTGCATTCATCCCAATACTCATCAAGCCAGTTATCTGTGAGAGGGCCTCGCCCAGTTTTTTGAGATACATATTGCTTGGGGTCTTCTTGAGGCACATATTCACTCAGTTGGTCTCGTACTACATCAATAACATCTGCACATCAAACAATTTGGGTATTAAATTATTCATTGTAGCTTTGTTAAATTCTAAGAAATGCCAGGAGACTTTTCTTTAATTATTTGAAAGGAAACTGACTTACCAACAATGCGGTTTCGGAGATCACTACCCTGTAGCTGAAATACATTTTCTTGGTAGCCATTGTCTGGGAAGTACCTAGTTTCAATTTCCAATGAGAACTTCTCAACAAAGGGACATGTGTACCGTGTTTTAGTGTAAGGGTAGGCATTCCAAGCCTCCTCTTCCACAGTAAGGGCTGATTTGGGGAGCAAGCTCTTAAACCAACCTGAAGAAATGCAAAAGATATTCAGATTTATCAGAATGATTCCGAGCTGATAGTTAGCCAAAAGAAACATTCTTGTCAAAAGTTCAAATATTTTTACCAGGTAAGTGACTGCCCACATGGTAGACTTTGTGAGTGTACTGCCCGGTGCCTCCTGGCCCACCCTCATATGGTTCATTCACCAGAATTTCCACGCCACTTCCAGTGCCTTTACTTTCATCTCTACTTTTTTTCTACATGCAAAGGAATACACGCAAAATTATTTTCCAGCACACGCATTCGGACACACCACGTCCAAACTAATACAGCGAGAAATTCTTGTCGCTGGCAGACGGACGACTTACGGCTATCATGTAGAGCTGGGCGATTCGGTACTCGTCCACCGTGAGCGGCAGCGGGATCCGGTACTCCTTGATCAGCATCTTGTCGGAGCGAGGTCTTCGGCGTCGGGGGAAAGGCCGGGAAGACCGCGACGACCGCCTTCCGAATCAACGAGGGGGTGGGGGCAGGGCCAATGGCAGGGCCAATGGCAGGGCCAATGGCAGGGCCCGCGGGCGGGGGTGCAGGCCCCGGCGCCCAGCGGCCGCACTGGGAGGCAGGTGTTACGCCATGCACCTGCAACAACAACAACACACCCTCCATTAGAGCCACACTGGGAGGCAGGTGTTATGCCATGCACCTGCAGCAGCAGCAACACACCCTCCACCCCCATTTAGATCCACTCTCCTCCAGTCGTTTGCAGAGCCAGCTGCATCTGATCCATAGCGCCCGCGCTGGGGTGCACCTGGGGCGCTTTCTCGCCTCAAATTACGAGTATGAGAAAGTGAGCAAGGGAGAGAGAGAGAGAGAGAGAGAAGAGAGAGAGAGAGAGAGAGAGAGAGAGAGAGAGAGGAGGGGGGAGAGATTGAGTGTGCAGGACCAGCACAAGGACTAGGGCAGTCGGGGGTGAGCGAGGTTTGCGCGAAGGTACACAAGGAGGGCCAGGACACTCGCAATGTATGTCACGGGCAAATGTTTGTCCCGGAGGTAGCCAGCCCAGCACTGCTCTCTGCCCTGCTGCCCCACGCAGGCCACGGCCAGCCACGGCCAGGCCGACGACGCGACAGGCGGGGCCAGGCGACAACACTCTCAAAACCTTCCACACTGCATTAGTCCTTACGAAAGAAAAGTTGTTGGGTGTTGCACATAATTGTGTCTCGAGTTTGGGCCGCCGGCGCCGGCCCGGCCTGCTGGCCAGCTGCGCGACGGCCCCCGATGCGACACTCGACGCGCCACCAGCGCCGCCCACTGGACCCGGGACTCGAGGACGTCATCGACGTCATCGTGACGTCATCGGCGTCATGGTTGAAATGCAGCGCCAGACAAGTCCAAAGGTCGCTGCAGGCGGCGCCGCCACGCCAGAGGGTGCTGGGTGGCGGGGCGGGGCGAGGCGGGGCGGGGCGGGGCGAGGTGCGGCGGGGCGGGGCGAGGTGCGGCGGGGCGGGGCGAGGTGCGGCGGGGCGGGGCGAGGTGCGGCGGGGCGGGCGAGGTGCGGCGGGGCGGGCGCTGCGTGACCTTTCCAATTACTGCAGCGCAAGCCGCGCCGAACCAATCGGGACGCTAAAGGAAATAATCAATTCCAGCAATGCCGGGTTCGCCGTGTTCGCCGGGTTTGTCGGGGTTGCCGGGATTGCGCAACGGGGCGGTGGGCGTGTGGGAAATTAAAGGGGCTGCCAATCGACAAACTGACAGCACTCTGTCTCTCTCGCACCCACGCACAATACCCCATGGGTGCGAGAGAGACAGAGCGACGACGATTCTCGGAATCGGTCTGCAGGAGACGGGGAGGAAGTAATTTGCAAGAGGCGTGGGCGATGCCGCCTGCGAACGGCGGGGTAGGCAAGCCCGCTCGACGCCCGCGCGCAACGGGACTGTATCCTCCAGCCCGCAGGCGCTTGCCGCTCGCTTGCCGAGCAGAGCAGCAACCCTTCACTGTCTCTCTCGCACTCACGGGGCATTCCCTACGGGTGCGAGAGAGACAGAGAGGCCTCAACGACTTTCCGAGTCAGTCAGCCGGCCTAACGACAGGCGGGCGGCGGCGGCGGTTCGGACAGGTGGACACTACAATGCGTTGCACTGCGTCGCCAATCAATCGAAGCGGACAGCCGGACACACGCGAGGGGCGCGGCACCCCGCCGAGGCCGCCCACCCAACGCCCCACCCAACGCCCACAGCGGACTTCATTCCGAGGAGTCTTTTTGGCCGCTCTGTCTCTGTCGCACTCATGGGCTAGCCCGCGCCGGGATGAGAGAGAGAGAGAGAGAGAGAGAGAGGTCGAAAGGCTCGGCTGGTGCCTGATGGCTGCCTGATGGCTGCCTGATGGCGCTGCTGGCAGGCAGGCAGGGCTGGCAACCACCCTTATCGCGCGGACACACCGCGGACCGACCACCAGCCGGGCGAGCGGCGACGCCGGGCGACGCGACGCGCGCCAGAGCCAATAATACCAGCCGGCCAAACAAAAAAAAACATCGAGAATAACAGCGAGAAAATAAAAGTACAATGAGACAGAAAGGAAACGGCGAGTTAATTACCCGCCGAGCGTCGTCCTGGCGTCGCGTGACCTTGGGCGCCTCGCGCGTCGCAAAGGGAGACGAAGACGTCACTATTTTGATACGCGACAAGGGGCGGCGCGATCTGGCCGCGGTCCCAGAAGTGAGAGAGGGAAAGAGAGAGAGAGAGAGAGAGAGAGAGAGAGAGAGAGAGAGAGAGAGAGAGAGAGAGAGAGGTGCGCGTCTTCCCGGTGGTGCCCCACACTCTTTGGCACCGCGTCGCCTCCCTCTACGCCCTGAGCGCCCCGAGGCTACGGATGGGCTGTTTTCAAGAGGACTGGTCGGGACTTACTTACACCACCCCCCTTTTTCCCACTTTTCCCTGAGCCCAAAGCGGGGTCTCCGTCACCCTGGTCCCGCCCTGTTCGTTCCTCCTGGAGTGAGTAGAGCTGTCAAAGTTTGGCCCGAGTCGGCTATCAGTCGCAACCACGCAGCGTCTCCACCGGAAGGAAAGAGGGGGGGGGGCGGCGTTTCGAGTCGTGAATAGAAAGGGGTACAAAGGGGGCTACAATGACGGCCTAGTCCGGAGTACAGGGGTTCCATTCGGTCCCATTCGGTTCCACTCGACCAGCGGAACAGCAGATTCGTTCTGTCTCTCTCGCACTCATGAGTGTCCCCGCAGAGGTGCGAGAGAGACAGAGCGACGAAGACGACTCTCAGTCTGCACAGCAGCAGGCCCTTCCCACCGACCCTGGCGCGTTGGCGCCGCTGGCCAGCACCCGGAGGATGACCATGGTAAGCGCGGTTAAAAATACCGGCGGGTTCGCTGTGCGGCGTCGCTCTGTCTCTCTCGCACCCCTACGGAGGGCCCCACGAGTGCGACAGAGACAGAGCGACAAGGTATAAAATGAGCGACAGGCGCGGACAGGGCGCTCTGATCCGCGTCCACGCCGAGCTAAACTAGGCGACCGGGTGCCGACGCCCCACCACGCCCAACAGGTGCATAAAGGACGACTAGTTTACTCGATTAAGTGCGAGCGAGTACGCGCATCTTTGCATTACTGTGAGGTGCAGTGCGCAGGGTGTGCGGGAGCACTGAGTGGACCCGACGAACTAAATCGTTGCCGCCATTGATATCCGCGTTTTAAACCAGGTTTTAACACTGTGTTAAGAAGTTTGTCAAGCGGCGCTGCCGCGGTTCGAAACCAGGGCGACGACGAGGCATGCAGTAGGCCTCCCGCCTCGCACCGCTCCCACACAAACAAACAAACAAACAAGGGAAAGAAGGCAAAGAAGGGAGGACAAGTGAGTCTGCCTGGGGCGGCAGGGCGGCCAGGGCGGCGTCGTCGGGGTGCTTGGCCCGGCTTGGCCGACCCACTTCAAGGCGAAGAGTGTCGTGGTGCTCTCAGTGTCAACTCGGAGCCTTGCTTGGAGCGGTTTGCCGCAGGGGGACAAAGCCAAAGGGGCCAAAGGCGGGCAAAGACAGCCAAATGGGGGCCGATGGAAGGTAAAGACAGTCAAATGGGGGCCGAAGGCAGGTAGAGACAGTCAAATGGGGGCCAAAGGCAGGTAGAGACAGTCAAATGGGGACCAAAGGCAGGTAATGACAGTCAAATTGGGGCCAAAGGCAGGCAAAGACAGTCAAATATAGGGACCACAGGCAGGTAAAGACAGCCAAATGGGTCAAAACAGAGGCCAAAGGCACAGCCAACCAAAGTTGGGACCGACTGTCCGTCCGATAGACCCGGTGGGGCCTCGGTAGCCTCGCTATGCCCTTGGCCACCCCGCCCCGCCCCTCCGCGCGCCGCCAGCCCCGCCAGCCACGGTCAGGGATATTGCGGCCTGCAGCCCTACAGGTGCTCAAGGTACGGCGGGGTGCGCGGCGAGTGGCGGCAAGGCGCGGCAAGGCGCGACAAGGACGGAAACGAGAAAAGAAAAAAAGGCGCACGGAGATGAAGACGCTGCAGCGGACCGGCACTGTAAATCATAAATTGGAATTTCCCGGAAAGGGCGTTTCGAAGTTCCGCCGGGAATTCCCCGACGCTTCGTTTTCCAAAAAAGTTACTTTGCTGCTCTATACTTGCTCATGCATACAAACATTGGAGTAACTTTTCCATGTCTTTGTCACAAAAGGACAATTAATGTGTACGGATCGTGTAGGGAAGGTAGGCATCAGTAGGTACAGGGGTTTACCGCGCGCTGTCTTTCTCAAGTTTAGCATGCGCATTCGCGTTCAGGTGGCTGAGCTCCACGTGTCGGTGTTGATGGGGGTGGGGGGGGGGGGGAGGGGAGAAGGGGGAGGGAAGCCCCTCGCCTTGCACGGCCTCGGAAGGACACGGTCTGACATCTATAAATACGAATTATAAACCCGCGGCATCTTTTCCTGGATTTCCCTTTCCGTGTTGCCGCCGCACAAACTTCGTTCACAACAAAGCAACAAAGAAACTTTCCAAAAAATGTCAGAGAGAGAGAGACCGACGTTGTTTTTCCCTGTGTGCCCAGGTTTGGTTTACCAGGCTATTGTAGGGCCCAGGCCCAGACCCAGGAGGGGCTCGTGTCCAGAGTAATGTGGCAGCACGTTCGGCAAGTAAGGCTGAGGCCCCCTCTCGGTGCATTGAAAAAGAATAAAGGAGGGGTGAAAGGAAAGGGGGCGGCGTACAAAGCAAGCGGTTCCGCCAACAACAACAACAACAAGAGCGCGACGAGCATGTTTTCCCACCTGTCGACACGTTCGGCCCCGCGTGAATGGAAACGCACTCAACTCGAAAAAGCTGACAAAAATTTGCGAATTCACTGCATGTCCGCGCATAAACCGCAGCGCCGCGGGAAACTCTCTCCCTTCTCTCGGGCTGACACCCTCCCACGGGTGTCAATGAGAGAGAGAGAGAGAGAGAGAGAGAGAGAGAGAGAGAGAGAGAGAGAGAGAGAGAGAGAGAGAGAGAGAGAGGGAGAGAGAGAGAGAACACTCACACAAACACACACACATGTAAACTCAGACCCCTCGACACACCGCACACTCACAGCGATGACGATGTTGCGGAAATGGAATCCTGGCCAGGGTAGGAAGGGAAGGGAGCCCCTACGCTT